TCCCCCACATCGCTTCCTCCACAGACGCTAGAAGAACTCTGGCTCTTTTGGAACATCCTTTCTTCCTGTTAGAAGGATTCTGGGGACAATTTACAAGTGTGGTCACCTAAAAATGAAAAAAATACAAGTCACGCATTAGACAACTTGTGAGGAGAACGCAGTCCTGGGGTAGCATAGCCCAGAACAAAAGGAAGTGCATCACAGAAACTGAGTGCAGCACAGAAACACGGAGCAGTCCTACTGGTGCGTCCCCAAAAGTCAAGGCACCGAGAATATTATCAACCACCACAGAGCTCCCGGTTAATGGTAGGCAGGAGCACAAGCCCATCTAGAGGGAGGGCCCCAGAGATGGAGTCTCATCAAGTTTTACCACTAGGACAATGTTTTAGAAGGTCATCTGTGTGTGTACCTGTGTGTTGCTTTTATTAAAGAAACTTCACATGGAAAAAGGATACAGAACCTTGATAAAGCAGTCAAAAATGAGGAAAATTTGAAAATGATGTGTCTCAAAAATATCAATTATAAAATTTATGTCACTTTGTAGCCAGCAGTAGTCTATTTAGGCTGAGAATAGAGGTTACTGATATTAGAAGGGTGGGAACTACTCTGTAACTTATAAAGAAGTGGTGACCTCAGTAGAACCAAATCTGAGTCCTTACCGTAACCGACATTTCTGGCCCTTCCTAACCTCTCTTCCCTGTCTCTACACACTCCCCTCAAACAAACAGGTCCCACTCAAAGTCCCCTATCAAGAGGCCTTCCTGACCACCCCACCCACCATCTGTCCCCTCACCCCACTTTATAGTTCTTCAAAACACTTATAGAACCTGATATTTTCCACTTGTTTACCTGTCTATGGCTTGCTTCCAATATTCAAATGTAAACTCCATGCAAGCAGGAAACGTATTTTGTTCTCCAGCACACAGAACAATGCACAAAGTAGGTGTTCAATAAATATTATATAAATGGATGAATGAATGCAGTGGTTGAAAAGAGGTTCTTTTAAATGTCTATATTTTGAATTGCCTGAATATGTTAATAATGAACACAATACTTTTGAAAAGGTTTAAAATAAGGATAAAGTCATAATGAGAGCATTGTTTAGAGACAGAAATTAAGCATTTATATTTGGGACAAAACCTCATACCACATTGCATTGTGGAAAACATCCATTTCTTAATTAAACGTTGGAGCCCAATAACAAAATTTGGTTAGCCTTTCCATGTGCAGAGCTTGAAGGTCACCATCACAGAGGAAGGAAAACAACCTTGAACCTAGTACTTAAGAGAAGAGCAGGAATTCCAGTAGAAAGCTCAACGCCTGCTTGTCATCAAATAGCCAAAGCTTTTAACAATCCAGTGCCACATCATCGACAACAGACAGAAAGACAGCCCCTGAGGATTTTGCTCATTTATGGAGCATTCAACATTTGTTTAGTTAGATATCTGAACCCAGTTTTTTTAGTTAGGAACTAAGAAAGAACTTGCAAGCTATAAGGAAATACGTGGATGAAAATAATTTTTGTCTGCCATTTTATCCTCCTGTCCAACATACCCTCTGGTGTTATTTTTTTTTTTTT